GGGGAAAAAATGGAAGTCTATAGCCAGGTGTGGCAAAGCTTGGTTTTAAACATATTGAGGTTGAGAGAGCCATTTGAGTGGAGAGGGCCAAGCAGACAGTTGGAGCTACAAGACAAAAGCCTCAAAGGTGTAGATTTGAGAGATGTCTGTATAAGAGGGGTGGTTGAAGCCATGCAAGTAAATGGTGTCTTAGAAAGAATAGAAGATATCGAGTGTGTGTGTGTGTGTGTGCATGCATGTGCACACGTGCCTGTGAATGCACATGTGTGTGCTTATGTGTGTTTGTATCAGTCTCCTCCCAGGCCACAGCGTTGCAGAGATCCCCTCCTATGGCATGGAGATTATAGCATATGGAGTAAAAGTTCCCTAATTTTAATTTCTTTGCTTTCTTTTCAAGACACAGGTTTTGTCTCCTCTTAAAAATTTTGATTGCAATTATTAGAAATACTGGGAGATTCTTAGTAATAAGTTAGCTAAAAACCTTATTCATTCAGCAAGTAACGTTCAGTCACTATTATTTGCACAGCATAAGCTAACAATATAAAATATGTGGGGAGAGCACAGTGGCTGAGGCTATTTCTGATGTTTATAAGTGAGTCTGTCTTTGGGCCAGGTCACTGAAGAACCTTTAGAAGAAGAGACAGAGGACGTCGCGAACCTGTGGAATTCCTTTAATGAAGAGGAAGAGGAGGAAGCGATGGTGTTCTTTGTTCTGCAGGAGAGCACTGGATACATGGCACCCACACTGCGGGCCCTGGCCGTCGTCCACACAATCATCTCTCTAGTCTGTGTGGTGGGCTACTACTGCCTGAAGGTGAGCCGCTTGCCTTTCTGGATCTAATGTGACTCCTCGAGGCAGGAGTGTCAGTTCCGAGCCCAGCCAGCACTTTGCTCTAATACTTTGCTGATAGAGTAAGATCCATGGAGCAGCAGCAGCACCTGGGAGCTGCTTAGAACCACCGCATCTCAGGCCCCACCCCAGACCTTTTAAATCAGAATCTACAGCTTACCATGGGCCCCCGGTGATTTGTGTGAGCATTCAAGTGTGAGAAGCCTTGCTCTGAAGCATCCCATCGTAGGCACCTCTTGTTGAATTTCACAAAATTAGAGTCATGAGGCTGTCACACAGAGAGCTATTTGTGAGAGGTTCTTCTGATCTTTAAATTGATGTTGACATTTTTATAAAAGTACTTTTTCATTACGTTGTAATCATTTGAGATTTCAGAAGAAAACTTACTGATGTGCTACTGTTTCAGTTATCTATTGCTGCATAACAAACCACTCTGAAACTCAGAGGTTTAAGACAATTGTTTTCTCTGTCTGATTCTGTGGGCCGACTGGGCACATTTGGGCAGCTCCTCTGCTCCGTGTGAAGGGGCTGCATCTGCAGCCAGCCGGGTGCTCAGCTGGGCTAGAATGGACAAGATGGCACATTCCCATGCCTGGCACCTTGGCAGGAGGGCTGGAAGGCTGGCTCAGCTGGGGTAGGTGGGCCTGTCTCTCTGATAACGCCCTCTCCATGTGGCCTCTCCACACGATCTCTCCAGTAGGGTAGCTGCACTTCTTGCACGATGGCTTGGGGTTTCCAAAAAGAGCACAAAAGTGGAAGGTGCCAGCCATTCTTAAGTCCTAGGCCCAGAACTGGCACAGTGTCATTTCTACCACTATCTGTTGGTTAAAGCAGGTCACATGCCAGCCCAGATTCATTGTTGCCTGGGGGGAGGGGGCATCCAAGGGCATGAATTACTAGGGGGCATGGTTTATTGGGGCCATCTTTGGACACTACTACAGTTATGCCAGTCTCCAATCATTCAATTTTTGGTGTTCTAAGTCCAGTTTCTAGTTCTACTATACCACAATTTTATTTTCCTCAGTGCTTTTCTCATTACTTTTTTCTCATTACATTTTTTTCTGCCTTCTCTTGCGTAGGAAGTGTGCTTGGCTATACATCAAGCCATCTTCTTCCTGGGAAGAGTCCAGGGAATATATTCCTATCCTTCTTGTCCTTTCTTCCCTCAGTGAACTATGGTACCATATAAGAAGTCCAGCTACCCTGCTGGAGAGACCGTGTGCCCTAGACCACACTGAGGACTCCATCAGAACTCTGAAAGTGCAGTTTCAGGAGCCAGGCTGCCTTGGCTGGACTCACAGCTTTGCCATTTAACCTCCCTGGTCCTCTGTCTCTTCATCTGTACAAATTAGTATGATAATAATACTACTAATAATACAGCAAATAGAGTTTCTGGAGGGATAAATAGATTAATATGTGCAAATGTACTCAGAAGATTGGACATAGTAAACCCTAGAGTGTGTTAGCTACTGTTCCTTAATTTGAGATCCTAGAGCTCAGCTTTTTGGGCTGGGTGCAGATATACTGTGACAAAAAAGAAACACTATCTAAGGAAGAAAAATGTGGCAGTTCTACTTACAAGGATATACAAACTCCTAGAAGATTGAAGGGGAATGCTTCGAGTCCCAGAGATCAGCACTGCTCTAGAACTTGGTATTATTATTGTTGTTAGAGTCATTTCAAAACACAGCAGAGTAGCTGTGGTCTTGCCTCCCCTCCCGCAGCCCCCACTAACTGACAGCAGTCATTGCTTCCTCACAGTGTGCCACGCCTGTTATTAGCCTTTCCACCTTCCTATCTTTACGCTTTTATTTCCTTGATGTTGTTTCATTGTTTTAAAGAAAGAAATGACAAGAGGTCACTCTTCACAAACTAGTGTCTGTGTTTTTGTCCTTTAATTTAGGAAATAGAGCAGCAGCGTTGGGTACATGCACATCAGGAGTCTTGAGGTAGAGTTTGGAGACAAGGTCTCAAGGATGTCACCAAGTCACCAGCGGCATCCCAGCCCTGGCTCTGTGTGAATCAAGCTTTCCTGGCTAGAGGAGCTTGACTATTCTGGCTTGTCCTTTCCTGGGATTTCAGTAGTATCCTCTGACCTCATTAATTCTGTCCTATGTTTGAAATGTGTGTACACTGAGTGATGGTTGGGGCAAGTGGATTATTTTCCTATCCCTTTCCGTATTCCCCTTTGGTGGTAGGTCTTTCCAGCATGCTACCATATCTAGTCTAAAATTAGAGTTACCATTAGAGTGAGGAGTGATAGTAGGAAACAGGAGCTCTTCATGGAAAGAATCTTGGGAAGGAAACTTCAATACTGAAAACTGTGTACAGAGTGAACTGAATCCTCTCATTCTAACCTTCAAAGCCATAAGATGAATATGACACTGGACATTGAAGAGGGTTGGAATATTTCATCATATTCCTGGGGCTGGCCAATCTATTCTAGAATAGTTTATTGTGCTTTCTAAGTCTTGGTTCAACTCCAGCCTAAGAGTCTTAGGAGATCTAACTCATTTGGCCCTGGGACTCTCACTTCTCACTTCTCACTAGGATTGGTCAAGGAGTCTAGTTTGTATTAATAGCAGCTATTTAACCAAAACCATAAAGGCTAGCCCAAATCAGATCAGCCTTTGGAGAGGCAGGTATGTTAGCCAAAGGAGTGAGAAGAGATTTATTTGGCTTTGATGCCACAACTGGGCAACCTAAGAATCCCACTATAAGGAGATTGTTGCTCTAAAGTTGGAAGGTTACTTTGCAACAAATGCCTGGGAGCAGGTGCTTTAACCACAAAGCCTTCTCTGAGTAACCAGTATCTTCCCACTCTAGGTCCCTTTGGTGGTATTCAAAAGAGAAAAAGAAATTGCCAGGAAGCTGGAGTTTGATGGCCTGTATATCACAGAACAGCCATCTGAAGATGACATCAAGGGGCAGTGGGACCGCTTGGTGATCAACACACCGTAAGTGTCCACCCGCACCCAACCTGAAAAGGAAATGGAATCTGTACTGTGGCCAGATCAAGAACTCTATCTTCACCAGCCTTGGAAACTGGTTAATATAAACTTTCCTTTGGTTTCTAGGACTTTTATCCCTTGCCTTTTCAATAAAGTAGCTTAAAAACACTTGTATTAATATATATCTCTATGAGTTAAATGGGGGACATAGAATACTGTCAGGAGGTACAGAGCATATTTGCTTAAGACCATACTGTCCAGTACAATATTGCTTAAACTAGTTTGCCATGTTTGCGTCACCTAGAGGGTTTCTGGGGCTTAAGCAGCCCAGGAGTCTAGAGACCAAGCTGATCAGCGTCTCCAGAGCCCCCCATGGCACAGTAGCAAACTACTTTCCTGATATTCATTAGTGATTAGTGATAGTAATTCTTAATTAATCAGGGACTTAATGATATTAGTAATTTTCATTCTCCTGTTCTAATTTAAAGTTTTTCCACTTAGCTATGTACCGCTAAATATATTGCTTCATTCTGACTATTTTGAACTTTATTTAAATGGAATTATACTATATCCATTATACTGTCACTTGAATCTTTTGTTCATATTACTTCTGGGAACTCACCGAGGTCGATGTGTGTAGCTATAGTTTGTTCATTTTCAAAGCTGTAGCATTTGCATAATGGCACATGGGTTATGTATTTATTCATTTTCCTGACAGTGGATGTTTCACCTATTTTAAGTTTCTGGCTATTACAATGAACATTCTTACACCTGATGCATAAGTCAAAGAGTTTCTCTAAAGAGTAGACCCAGGAGAGGAATTTGCTGAGTAGCAGGATATGTACTATGTTTGTTCCAATTTACATTCTAAACAATACTGTGTGAGAGTTTCTCCTTCTCTACCTTTTTCCCAGCACATGTTACTGTCAGATAATTTTGCTAATGTGGTAGGTGTATAATGGCAGCTCATTGTACATTTTCCTTATTACTGAAGGGGTTGAGCATCTTGTATTCTTTTACCTGAAGATTCACATACAGGTGTGTTCTTTATTTATGCATTTCCCTTCTGAAGGCCCCGTTCTTTATGCCACACTTTAAGGAAGATGACCAAGTAAAAAATACATTTTTGACCTTCAAGGAACTTACATACCTAGTTAGGGGACAAGAAATTCAAATGCTCAGAGCAAGGTAAGATCAAGTCTGTGAAAGGGTCTTGCCCATAGCCCGTGGTCCTTGGCTTTCAGCATCACTTGCAGAATCATCTACTTAGGGCAAAATATGACCAACGCTGGGTTGGATGTGACAGACCATTTGTATAAAGGATTTAAGAGAAAGGAGATATCAGTGTGGTAGAGGAAGCTAGGCTTGATTTTTATCTGTTTTTTTTTTTAATTTTAGATTCTAAATGTAATACATGAAAAATCAAGTAGCAGAGAAATGCACAAAGAACAAAGACAAAATAATTGTTATTTCCATCCCCCAGAGATAAAATCTGTTAGCAGTTTACTCTGTAACACCAGCATTTGTTTTTGTTTTTAAGTGGCATCTAGATGTGTAAGACAAAGAAACTGCTTTAACAAACCAAAATAATAATAATAAAAACACATATTTTTAAAAGTCTACTGCCCTGTTGGAGGAGAGGTGGCATTTGCTCAGCGGAGGTCCCCACCTCCTCATCACCAACTTGATGGTCTCTGTAGAGTAGGGAACTATTGTGTTACAGAGCCAAAAAGAGTGACTCGAAGGAAAACAACAGCAAGAATGCATGCACCAAGGGCCAGAGGATCCTTAGCTGTCGTGTAGCCTTACAAGGAATCTTCCTAGGAAAGATTCAATGATTGTGAATAGGGGCAACATATTTTAAACAGTTTTTGCTAACATACCTGAAGGTAACAGTTCTTTCATGACTTTAACAATAAGAAACTATTTGCAGTGCAGCTGGTACAAGCAGAAGAAAGAAGATCCCTCTGGCGAGGGTAGAGATGGTATGGAACAAGGGACTGCCTCCAAAGGAGAGAGGGATCTAACTCCCCGGGGAAAGGAGGCCACTGGAGTTATGTGGGAATAGAAAATAGAGCAGAAGAGCACTCAGGTTAAAAGAAAATCCTATATAAATTAGTTAAAGGTGATTTGCAGACTAGAAACTTCATAAAGTCAGGGACATCATCTATACTTTCCACCACCTCCTGCATTCCCGGCGCCCATCCCAGTAACTGACATGATGACTCCTTGAATGGAATGCGTGGGTTGTCTACAGCATTTTGTTTCTGGTTATCCTGGGATCAAGGAAAGGATCAAGAAACATATCTGTTTCTATCTAGTCTGTCATCACAATTCCTGGCTTTTAAACCATAATTTTGAGATAGAAAGTGAAGAATGGCTTTCTAAGTATTTCAGAAGTCAACACAAAGTAGTGAAACCATAAATCAGTAGACCTGTGATGACTCTGAACTTCAATCAAGTCTTGAATTCTTTAGTGAGCAGGACAGAAACCAAAAAGATCACAGATCTGGACACTCAAAGTGGAAATTTCTTGATGTGCTTGCTTTGATGTTAAGAATTAAGAACCTTGGGGAACCAGAGAAGACCCCATACAGCAAAAGCAATCTTAAGCAAAAAGAACAAATTGGTAGGTATCAATTTACCAGACTTCAAACTAAACTACAAGGCTATAGTAACTAAAACAGCGTGGTACTGGTACAAGAACAGAGACATAGGCCAATGCAACAGGACTGAGAACCCAGATAGAAAACCATCCTCATATGGCCATCTACTCTTTGACAAAGCAGACAAAAACATACACTGGGGAAAAGAATCCTTGTTCAATAAATGGTGTTGGTAAAATTGGATAGCCACATGTAGAAGATTTATACAGGATCCATACCTCTCACTTCTCACAAAAATCAATTCATGGTGGATAACAGACTTAAACCTAAGATATGAAACTATAAGAATTCTAGAAGAAAATGTTGGAAAAACTCTTACAGACATTGCCTAGGGAAAGAATTTATGAAGAAGACCCCAAAGGCAATCACAGCAAGAACAAAAATAAATAAATGGGACCTGATCAAATTAAAAAGCTTCTGCATAGCCAAGGAAACTATCATGAGAGCAAACAGACAACCTACAGAATGGGAGAAAATATGCACATGCTACACATCCGATAAAGGGCTGATAACTAGAATCTATATAGAGCTCAGGAAAATCAGCAAGAAAAATCTAACAACCCCATCAAAAAGTAGGCAAAGGACATGAACAGAAATTTTTTGAAAGAAGACAGATTATTGGCCAACAAACATATGAAAAAATGCTCAACATCTCTAATCGTCAGGGAAATGCAAATCAAAACCACAATATCACTTAACTCCAGTGAGAATGGCTTATTATCAAAAAGTCCAAAAATAATAAATGTTGATATCGATGCGGAGAGATAGGAACACTCATATATTGCTGGTGGGATTGCAAACTAGTGCAACCTCTGTGGAAAGCAATATGGAGATACCTCAAAGAGATACAAGTAGAACTACCATTTGATCCAGCAATCCCACCACTGGGTATGTACCCAGAGGAAAAAAAGACATTCTATAAAAAAGACATCTGCACTTCAATGTTTATAGCAGCACAATTCACAGTTGCAAAGATGTGGAAACAACCCAAGTGTCCATCAATACATGAGTGGATTAATAAAATGTAGTATATGTGTACCATGGAGTACTACTCAGCCACAAAAAACAGTGGTGATCTAGCACCTCTTGTATTATCCTGGATAAAGCTGGAGCCCATTCTACTAAGTGAAGTATCACAAGAATGGAAAAACAAGCACCACTTATACTCTCCATCAAACTGGTATTAACTGATCAACACTGAAGTGCACATATAATAGCAACATTCATCAGGTGTTGGGCAGGTGGGAGAGGAGCAGAGGGGATGGGTATATTCAAACCTAATCGGTGTGATGTGCACTGTCTGGGGGATGGACACATTTGAAGCTCTGACTCGGGTGGGGCAAAGGCAATATATGTAACCTAAACATTTGTACCCCTGTAATATGCCGAAATAAAAAAATAAAGAGAATTAAGAACCTCAGACTGTGCATGGTGGCTCACACCTGTAATCCCAGCACTTTGGGAAACTGAGGTGGGAAGATTGCTTGAGGCCAAGAGTTTGAGGTTTCAGTGAGCTGTCATGGAGTCACTGCGCTACAGCCTGCGTGACAGAGTGAAATCCTGTCTCAAAAAAAAAAAATTAAGAACCTCCCTTTTTCATTTTCTTTCACAGGTCTTTTCCTAATAACTACTGGGACAAGTTTGTAAAGAGAAAGGTATGCCTTTCCAGTGGGGCTGAGTTCCATGATCACAAAGAAATGTGTATTTTTTTTTAATTCACCATAGACAAACATGAGTAAATGTGATGTTACTTTTGTGATGGTGTCTCAAGAAGAGTAAGTCACAGAAGAGGTTCTATGTGAACATGTGTAGGTTGTTGACATCATTCCTATACTCATCTGTCTTAAACCACTTAACACAGTCCCTGTTGTTTCTGTACGCTCAGCTTTTCCTCCCCTCCTAAAAGATACCAGCTTGAAAAGCAGTTTTCATTTAATTGTCTTTGTTTTCTCTGGGGGTTATATTTTTCTGTTGCATTTTTTTATTGTTTATATAATTTTATTTCCCCATAGGTAAAGAATATTTGCTCATTATGAAGTATTTGTAAAATAAAAAAGTAGAAATAAAATCCTCTTGCAAATCAGTCATAACTCCATGAAAGAAAAAGAATTACTGAATAACTCTTCCTTTAGTCTTTTTACTACACATATTTACACATTTATAGAAAACTAAGAGCTAACAGTTATTGAACGCTACAATGCACCTACTGCTTTGCCAGAGGTTCACATATATTATTTCATTTAATTCTCACCACATCCTGCTGCATTTTGAATCATGTCTTAACAAGAGCCCAGAGTGTAGCAAAGCTCTGAAGACCACAGAGCTAGAGAAGACCTGGCTGGTGGCATGTGGCCTGGGCTCACCCTGTCATCCTCTGCCGTAGGTGATCAACAAGTATGGAGATCTCTACGGAGCAGAGCGCATTGCTGAACTCCTGGGTTTGGACAAAAATGCCCTTGACTTTAGCCCAATAGAAGAGACCAAAGCAGAGGCAGCTTCTCTGGTGTCATGGTACGGAGCTTAAGAGTTAAAATCCAAAGTGGCTAAAATAGATCCTTCATTTTTCCATTCCTCTTCAGTGTGCTCGAGGGAAAAATCACAGCCATGTCTTTGTTCTGTCAAGCTCTGGTCTCATTTAGGTGTTTCTCCTGGGTTCTAACATAGTGGGAGAGCACTGCTTTAAAAATTTGAAGGCCAGTTTTTATACCCAATATATCTGAAAAAGAAAGACTAATTAAGATTTGAGAATGAGCGATTCAACCATTCTGTCTCATGGGGAATGCATACAACTTGCTAAAGCTCAGAGCCATATTTAGGTTATTAAACCTGAGAGAAAAAACTTAATTTTTCCTCTTATTAAACACTTAACTAAATCTTGACATTTATAAGTTTTAAAATTATTTGTTCTTCTGCAGGCTAAGTTCCATCGACACGAAGTACCATATTTGGAAGCTGGGGGTTGTTTTTACCGACAACGTAAGTATTGCACCTGGAAAAACAAGATTCAGGGATGTTATTAGATCCACAGGGAAACAAGCTATGGAGGATGCCCAGAAAGATTCAGGGGTTGCTTTTCAAAGACCCAGAGTATAGTATGTGCTGGGGGAGCACTTCTCTCATGTAGAACGGTATAAGGTAGATGGGGCTTCACTTGGCAATTCTTGGGCCAGCTCCCATCACCTCAGCGCATAAATCCCCACTATCCTCACTTTGTCCCCAAAGAAGAGAAAAAATGGTTTAATGAGTACGTCATGAGACAAAAATGTCTAAAAAGCTGCTAAATTTCTTCCAATTCCACAGTCCTTTCTCTACCTTGCCTGGTACACAACCATGTCAGTCCTGGGCCACTACAACAATTTCTTCTTTGCTGCTCATCTACTGGATATTGCCATGGGCTTCAAGACACTGAGGACTATTCTGTCATCTGTAACCCACAATGGCAAACAGGTACTGATTTATAGTGATGCAGAACAGAATGGACCTACATATGAACAGAAAAAAAATAACCAACAGCAGGTCGTAGACTAGGTATGACAGGAAGGAATGTGTCATAGTGTATAATGCACCTTTCTTGGCCAAACACTTGAACTAATAGTGACTGTTTTTGCAAAATTGTAGCTAATTAAAAATATAACTGCAGCCATCACATAAGAGGCATAAGACCTTGATTCAGAGACCTGTAACATTTAGATCAACCAGAGGAGGGAGGGAAGTGATGAGCATATCAGAATAACCTTGGAGACCTTTTTTAGGTCTATCCATTCGTCCATGGGTCTGATATACTCCAAGGGGTTAGCAAGTAGACACACTGTATACAGTTAGAAAATTTCCAAGTACTTCTGATATGTGCCTCCAATTAAGAACAAACGATTTAAGATATATATATATTTATTATATGGTATACGCATATACATTTTATATATATGTATGTATAAACATTACACATTTTATATAACATAATGTATAACATGTATATACTATATAATATATACATATTACACAGTTAATATTTATACATATTATATGCATATATAACAGTTAATATATACACATATAGTTAATAGTATGGTTAATCAGGGAATTGATTCTGACAATGTACAGAAGGCTGGATGTATAGTGATGGCTACAGCCATATTAAAATGTTCCAATGGCTTTCCCTTGTCTAGAAATTCAAACTGCTTAGCATTTCATTCCTCACTAAATACAATTCTACATATGAAATATGTTCCCTCACATCTCTAAACTTTTGTACAGAGAGGGAGAAAAGAAGGAAGTTAAAATGTGCCAAGCTTGTGCCATGTGCCAGGTACTATGTAAAGTAGATGTTATGCTTACTTTACAGATAAGGGAAATAATGCTCAGAGAAGCTAAGTGTCTCATCCAAGGCCACACAGCTTCTAAGTGAAAGAGCTTAGATTCAAGCCCTTTTCTTCCTTGGTGCAAAGTCCAAGTTCTTTCTCTTTTTTCTAAACCAACTACTTTCTGTGAGGTCTGCTATCCAAGGTTTGAGTAACTACTCCTCCCTCAAGAGGTCACTAAATACATCTCTTCTGGTACTTACCTTAGCACTCAAGCTCACTCCCTCTTGGTCACCCTGGGTACAGTGCAATGGTGTCATCACAGCTCACAGCAACCTCAAAATCCTGGGCTCAAGGGATCCTCTTGCCTCAGCCTCCTGAGTAGGTGGGACTACAGGCACATATCACGATGCCTGGCTAATTTTTCTATTTTTAGTAGAGATGGGGTCTCGCTCTTGCTCAGGCTGGTCTCGAACTCCTGAGGTCACCAATCCTCCCATCTCGGCCTGCCAGAGGCTAGGATTGCAGGCGTGAGCCAGGGCTCCCAATCTTCGGGTAGCTCTTTGAAAGCAAAGCTGTTATCTTGTTGATCTTCATATCTCCAGCTCAGTACTTTGTCCCTGGTATAGGCCAGATGTGCAGGTCCCATGTATTCCTTATTTATGCTGCTGAACCCTTACCTTCTAAGCCTGGAAGTAGGCATGCCCTGTGACCACACAAAGGGCCTGGGCAGATTTCTTGGTAATAAAAAAATTACTTTGCTCAACCATCATAATTCTTCTAGTAACTTCAAACTTGCCACAATCATCCAGTTCATGGTTATTTATAAAATAGCATAATGTAGGGATACCCATCAGTCCGAAGACCTTTGGATTTTGGTAGAAGCAACATTAGAGCAGAAACTGCATTATGGAGCCTCAGAGGCATATTCCTCCTCAGAGCACCTTCACTGTTCAGTACTTCAGTACCTTTGTATTTTACATACGCCCAATCCAATACCCTATGCACTAATCTGCATGGGCTGCCATAACAAAATACTGCAGACTCGGGGCTTAGACAACAGAGGTTTATTTTCTCACAGTCCTGGAGGCTGGAAGTCAGGTACCAAGGTGCTGGCAGGGCTGGTTTCCTCTGAGGCATCTCTCCTTGGCTTGCAATTGGCCACACGCTTGGTGCTTCTTCACATGATCGTCCCTGTCGGGGAGGGGGGGGGTCTGGGGTCGCTCCCTGTGTCCTAATCTCCTTTTCTTATACACCAGTGAGACTGGATTCGGGCCCATCCTAACAGCCTCATTTTAACTTAATCAGCTCATTAAAGGCCTGTCTCCAAAGGTGTCCCAGTCTGAGTCACTGGAGGTGAGGGCTTCCGTGGCTGAATTTGAGGGGACACAATTCAGCCCGTGACACCCCCTCATTACTCTTTTCTCCCAATAAGCCGTTTCTCCTTCCCTGTGGTCCTGTCTTCCTCTGCCTGCAGCATGGCAGCCTGCACCACCAGCCCCCACCTTCCCCTCTCTCCTTGCGGGGACTTGCGCTCCTCCTTGTTTTCTTTGTGCTTTCCATGAACCCTGCAAAGGTAGCGAAGATCCCACCTCCTTTTCCTTCTCTGTCCTCCTTCCCAGTTGGTTCTGACCGTCGGTCTCCTGGCTGTGGTGGTTTATCTCTACACTGTGGTCGCCTTCAACTTCTTCCGCAAGTTCTACAACAAGAGTGAGGACGACGACGAGCCGGATATGAAGTGTGACGACATGATGACGGTGAGAGTCCGCCCGGTCCCCCGCCTGGCAGGAAGGGCTGTGTGGGTGGTCTGGGGAGCTAAGTGAGAGCTGTAGGGTCGTAGAGCACGGTGGGGATTAGACTCGAGCACAGATGTCTCATTCGAGAGGGAGAAGCATCCCGGGGAGACAGAAGTAGGTTTCATCACCATGCGTCTATGACTAGTGGAAAGAGAACCTCCCTGCAGAGTGGGGCGTCATTCGTCTAAACTCGTCTGGGGTAAAGATGAGACATCGTTTTGCATGGACCTGTATCTAAATTTCATGGGAGTCAAATTTTAATTGTCATCCCTGAGAACTGGGAGCAAAGTCCCATGGACCGGGTTCAGGTACCTGATGTATTTGAGCAAGCCAGGGGGGGCTCTCTCAGAACAGCCCCATGGGCTGAAGAATGTGAGAGCAGCAGATCAGGTCAGGGGGCTCCCGTCAGGCCAGACCCTTGTGGAAAGGAAAGGCACAGCTCAGGTGAGACAGCACAGCTGCAGCAGCATCTCTAAAGTTTACATTGACCGGATTTCAGAAAAAGAATCCGTGTCTCAGGGACTGATGACAGTGAACTGTCCCAGTCTGTGATCATTTCTCTCTGAGATGGGTAACACTTCTTGGGTAAAAACTCTCCTTGTGCTTTCTCGGGCCGAGCACCCTCATGAGGCAGCAGCTAGTCACTAGAGCATCTGTGTGACCAGTGCCCATCTCCAGGCTGTCCTTGGCTTTTGATTTCCCGGTCGTGGGACAGGCTGTGCTTTCCCCGTAAGTGTAACCTATCCAGTCAGGTGGAGAGGCAGCAGGTGCCCTGCTCAGGGAGCACCGCAGTGCCCAGATGCCCACATTGGATCATATGTACACAAAAGGAGGAGAGAAAAAAATCTGTTGTCTAAGATGCTGTGGAAATCCCTGCCCTACCAGGTGTGCCGGGGGTGCAGGAGAAAAGGGGGCCTTTCCCAGAGTTTACAGCACAGCCTCAAGGCCAGGCTGACACTTCTTAAATGAGAGAAAACTAGCATCTGGCATGTGCCATACTCATTAGTGCTTAAAGTGCTTTCAACTTAAACACACCTTAAATGAACACTGTTGTATGTATTAAATAGATCAAAACTGTTTTTAAAAAACAGGCCAACAATGCCTTTAAAAAGTCTAAACATAACCACAATATTTCCATCTTTGTAGACACCAAACTGACCAGAGGGTGTGGTGGACAGTAGTTAACAAGATTACTGATTCCGCTGAAGGATTCAGGGCTGCCATGCTCTGATCTGATGGCATGAACGATCTGACCATCTTGCTAAAAACTAACAAAACTCAATGACTTTTACCTGAATGGCCATTATTTTCCTTTTCTAGTGTTACCTTTTCCACATGTACGTGGGCGTGAGAGCAGGAGGCGGCATTGGCGATGAAATTGAAGACCCTGCTGGTGACCCTTACGAAATGTATCGCATCGTCTTCGACATTACCTTTTTCTTCTTTGTCATTGTCATCTTGCTGGCCATCATTCAAGGTATGGTTGCCAATTACGTTAGGTATGAACAGGGTTTAATCTACTTCTTTTTGCTTGCCTGCATCTGTGACTTAATTGTTTCATGAAGAAGTTTGTGAATTCATTTACATGTTAATAATTTAGCAAGCATTTATTGAGCGTCTACTATATGTGAGGCTTTGGCTATATATATATAAAGCCAAGGACACATCTGGGCACTGTTACAAGAACTTTGAGAATCCACCTCGAGGATCCTTTTCCTTCTGTTGCTCGGAATTATTTCCTCATCTCTTCTGCTTCTGAGCCTCCTGTGGCTAGTGAGGTGGGCAAGGAGCAGAGGAACTATGAGAGTATAACATGTTTTTTCTTCTTGTGTGGGTGGCAGGGGGGAAGAAGAGGTATTGATATTTTAGTCAATAGCTTGTCAGGAATCGGAGAAAGAAGATGACGAATTTAGTTTGAGTCATGCTGAGTTAAGGGACCTGTGAGACATGCAGGTGTTGAGGCTAAGAAACAAAGAGACTGAGGAGGAGCCCTGGTCCCCATGGACGACTGAGGGGCTAGGAGAAGAGGAAGAGCCATCCTGAAGACCGGAGACTGATGGCTAAGCAAAGCAGGAGGGCAGCGAGGGAGCAGTGGAGAGGAAAGATTTCAAGGAGGAGAATGGAGTTAACAGCATGGAATAGCGTGGAAGGGTGGAGTTAAGAGGAACAGTGACAAACGGTCAGCCAGGATGCAGCACTTGTAAAAACACAAGCATTTTTTTCCTTAATTTTGCTTTAATTGAATAGTTCAGCTTGATAATTCACTTTTTTGACAAAACAAAGTGGCCTCTGCCCCTCCCTCTATCATTCCTCTACCTCTAACCACTACACAGATTATTTAAGGTGCTTTGCCTTTGTATTTAAAATTCCAGGTCTTATTATTGATGCTTTTGGAGAGCTAAGAGATCAGCAGGAACAAGTGCGAGAAGATATGGAGGTAACTGTTCGTCTTACTACCGATTCCAACTCTATTTTCTAGCCCCACAGCAAATGGATTTTTTAAACAACAGGTCCTGCTATTACTTAGGGCCAGCCCCAAGCCAAACTCAGAAAACAGTTTGTTTTCTGAGCCTGTGTTCCAGCTCTGGGCATCTCCACCCACACCCTGGGCCGCCCCTGCCCCAGGCCGGCCACCCTGCTGCCCTTCCACTGCCCGTGCCGAGGGAGGGTAGCAGCACCCCCAGCTGACGGGGAGCTGTGCGTGTGGCATGCTGAAGTGAGCGGCTAACAGCCAAAGGCATTAGACGTTTTTCATTGTCCCTCCATTCACTAGAGACCATGACCCTTTCCCCTCCTGCCTGTGTTGTCATGCCTCCTAATGCCTTTTCTGCCTCGGTTATTTTTCTTAGACTAAATGTTTCATCTGTGGGATCGGCAATGACTACTTTGACACGACCCCTCATGGTTTTGAAACACATACATTACAAGAGCACAACTTAGCCAACTACTTGTGAGTATTCTCGGTTAATAGAAGTGATGAGAGTTGTGGGGTGAAAAAAAAGTTATGTCATATAGTGCAGTCTCTGCTGATGCCATTTCTTCCTTTTTCTCTGCAAGAAGTAGAAGGGATCAGGAAAGAACTCCCAGGAGTCCCCATGAGCACGTGTCTTGTCTGTACACTGCCTGTCCCGTGTCTCTATAGCTGTGTGTTGTGGACTGTTCTGCTCCTGGCAAAGGCCAGCCCCGCAACCTGGATTGGATCCCTCCCTCCAGGACACACCTTCTGCAATTTCTTTCTCTACTGCACTTTTCCTATCACCGTATGAACATGCTGCTTTTGTCATCCTAAAGGAAGGAAAGTCTGTGGCCCCGTTTCTACTTCTAGCTATTGCTCTACTTCTTTTCCCCTTTCGGCAAAACTTGAAAACTGTCCACGCTCACCATCTCTAGTTTTTCTCTTTCCATTCTCCTGTGAACCCCTTCCTGGCCAGGGCTGCCTTCCTTCCCACCATGTCACAAGATTTGGTCTTGTCGAGGGGACGGACAGTGACCTGCATAGTGCTAAATTCTGTGGTCAGTTTTCAGGCCTCTCCCATGGATACGGAAGCCCCATGAGAATGGGGTGTGTGGGGGTACGTCTGTTTTCACACTGCTTTATCCCAGCACCTAAAGCAATGTCTGGCACCCAATAGGCAAGTAATAAATGAACATTTCACTTTTTCTCAGGTAAAGCATTCACTCAAGAACAAGTAACTTGAGCTTGTTAAGTGCCAGAGACATCCTATGAAACTTAAAACTTGCAGAATTATAGAGTATATTGATTATATTACCTAACAATTCAGATTCTGTAACTGAATCTTCAAGGAAAAAAAAAAAGGCTGGGCTCTGTTCCCTGGCCTAGCTTTTCCCCCATCTCTGTACATTTTATTGCTTAGAAAGTCCTCATCTTTCTTTAGGATGGAGCAGGCCCAGCCTTTGGGGAGGTGTTATTGTCATTTTGCTACAGATGAGTTTAAGACAAAATGATAAGTTTTTAAAAATTTAGCATACCTGTCCTCACGAGTATTAATCGTTGTTAATTTAATTAAGGGAGTTTCCATCTTAATGGAGGTGAGCATGCATTCCTTAGTAGGGAAAAGCACGTCCTCCATGAGGTGAGCGTGTGGCCATCTGTCAATACCAGTGGGTGATGGACCAGTGGAAGGATGGTACCTGGGTTGCAACCACTTCTACACCTTCCATGGCACTCTGTGTTGTATGTTCTCTTTTTCTATTTCTAGCCCCTTCTAGCAGTGAGCTTGAGAGGAAAGAATACAACTTATTCATGTCTGGGCCTCCCACCTAAAACAGTGCTTTGTTAAGTAAATGTGCTGGGAAAGGAACAATGTCCTATGCATGTCAAACATGATAAAGATATTGGCCCTGCCTTCTTAGTTTTAGTAAAGGAGAAAGGGGAAGGCAACTGACATAGTTACAGAGCCACTGCTGGGGGCCAGGACCTGAAGCAATGGATATGGTATCGCCCTCAGAGAACTTGAGATCTGGGGTTCAGCCTCTCTCCACCCTGAGAAGGATGTTAGTTCTACTTTCTCTTCCTTACCATCAGCCTCACAATCCTTTTCCTGAAGGGCACGAGATGTTCCCTTGGAAAACTGTCTCTAAGATCATACAATGTGAGCTGAGAGTTCAGAAGCAGCCCCCGGGGATACTTAGGCGTCTCAGGTTTGAGTTTGTCTGTGACACTTATGTGGTGAGAGCAAGTGACTACACTGGCATTTCCCAGCTATCTATGAAAACTATACTTCTAGAAGAACCAGAGCAACTCAGTGAGATTAAATACTTTCTACCTTTCTCACATCCTTGAGATAGACATGTAATTTCAATTCTACATTTTTATGAGATGATAAATTGGCCTGTTTAAGACTATCTGGTAAGAGTTCAGGATTTTCTTAACAACAAAACAGTGGCCTAAACATTACCTTATCTTAGCTCAAGGTTTAGGGATAGTAAAAAGGGCCAGGTGCGGTGGCTCACACCTGTAATCCTAGCACTCTGGGAGGCTGAGGCAGGAGGATCGCTTGAGCCCAGGAGTTTGAGGTTGCTGTGAGCTAGGATGACACCACGGCACTCTTGCCGGCGCAACAGAGTGAGACTCTGTCTCAAAAAAAAAAAAAAAAAAAGAAAAAATGTAAAAGGGATCTCCTCGCATGCTAATCTTGCTGTGTTCTTAAGCCGCAGTTCCCCGATCCTTTTAGGCAGTGTGGACAGCATGATGCCAAACAACCTTTTAACCCTGATTCCAGTTTCCCTGAGTAAATGAACTTAGTATTAGATATTTTGTTCAAGAAACCTATTTCATTTATTTTACCTTTTTTCTTTGTTCCAGGTTCTTTCTGATGTATTTGATTAATAAAGATGAAACAGAGCACACGGGTCAGGTGAGAAATAAAATGCCTTTAATTAAGAATCACACACCTGTGTTAGGTCTCCCTTTCCCAAGTCCGGAGACTAAGCAGGGCACAGCCTATCTGAAACAGACGATCCCACTAGTCTCTTGCATGCATTTGTCCATCGCTGCTCTGTGACTTATGGTGACCTCGGTCTATTCCAAAAGTCCCCATGGTCATCCGTCTTAACCAACACTGACATTTCCTCAAGGCTCATGGTTACTGCTTCAGACTAGAATAGCTGGAGGTGGGGAGAACATTACAGAGAAAAGATAATGAGAACTGAGTGGGTGGCTGCCACAAGGAGCAGGAGAATCGGAGTAAAGCAAATGAGAGACAGCCTGAGAACCATAACGACCTTGAGTGTGGGTGACAACGGGAAGGTGGCGGTGTGGGTGTGAGAGGATGTGTCAAGAGAGTCTGTGACTAAGTTTGAGAAAGAAAAGTAAAGGTAGGGAACGAGAGAGGGAAACGTGGGTTATCAGATACTCAAACATCACTGGATTTGTAGGAAAACTTTACAGCTCAAACACTCAAAGGGAGAGGCAGTTGGTTTCCAGATCTGCCTTTAGTTCTCCAGGCATCTGCCTGAGCTAGCACTAAATGTTCCCTCCTTGTGCTTTCTTCTGCCTTCCACCACTTACAAGTGACATGCAGTCAGCCTACTGCTAAATCTTTGAGTATTTTTAGTGGCAAACATGGAGTTGTTTTCAGTTTTGTTGGGTTGGAGGCAGGGGAGTTTTTCTCCTCCCGCCAGCACTGCCAGGGAGACATGCCTTCTTGCACCCAGAGCAGCCTGGGCTGGCAATGGAGCAAGAAATAACGCGCTGGTTTGGCCTCATCAGTCTTCCTCAACAGAGCCAGAGACAGCAAAAGCAAACTGGGTCTTAGCTTACTGTGGTTTACCCTTTTTCAGGAATCTTATGTCTGGAAGATGTACCAAGAAAGGTGTTGGGATTTCTTCCCGGCTGGTGACTGCTTTCGTAAACAATATGAAGATCAGCTTGGCTAAATCGGAATGAAAGATGCGCCAGTCAACTTCAGTGAAATAAAATCCTTTTACAGTTCTGCGACATGTTTGACGTTTTCTACATGCCTCCCTTACAAGAAAGTGTGCCGTTTTGAAATTGATTGGCTTTTTGTGCCTAATGGACATACGCTGTGGGAGAGAACCCGTCACGATGTTTAAAAAGATGGCAAAGAATGAAGGAACCTCTCCTTGAATGCCTGCCTTCAAGTTTTTCAGTTCTAATTAACTAGTTGGTTGGGATGGTGGCATAATAGCTGAAATGTTAAACACTTGGATGTTAAGGACAGTAGCCAACTAGTGACTCATGGTCTGAACTACAAAAAATCATTTCCAGTCTAATTTTTCCCATGGTACTTACTAGTGACTGTATCTAGTGACTGTATCCAGAATCAGCTTGAAAAGGTTTTAAGCAAAGAAATAGGAAGAGAAAAAAAAACTAACACTTTGTCGACAATGAAATATCGATTAAGTGCCTTATCTCTTTAGATATAGCTATGCAAGTTTTTTATGTTTGTGTTCCAGAAGGACAGTTCCATTAATTAGTTGTGTTGATCTTCTGTCTTACTTTATGAAACTGCACTTGAAGGTTATTCATATTATTATTACTTTTTTAGTAACAGCTTGTCAACTGCTGTTATTAGAAGTACTGTACTGAAAATTCAGAAAAAAATCTCAATCTTATGCCAAAACTGAGTAATGCTTTATGGTCTCTTGTAAGTAGTGGCGCTATGTTTAGGTGAATTTCCTCAAATAAAATGAAGTGCCCACTGCAATAAAGTAATACACACCAATCCACGGTTTGGGACTTCTTGGAATGCACCACTCTGTGACTGCTGGGGAAAGGGACGTAAGACCCCCGGCTCTGCACAAGAAAGAGAAAATCCGTAGACCAGTGTTTGTTTAGTTTGGCCAAACGTTTGCATCTATTCCCTGCAGCAGTGCCTGCTATGCTGTGAACATTACCAGGAAGGAGGCTAGAAACAAGAGCCATATGTCCCCTGCCCTTAAGGAAATCTATCAGACACTAAGCCAGAAAAACAAATGCAACAAGCCTCTTTGATGTCTCATTTCAGATGTTGTCAAGCACAGGGGTAGGCATTTACTGCTGCAAGCGTAATGGAACACACTGGCTTGGGGCGTGCCTGTAAACTAGCTGTTCCAGAAGGGAAGCCTATGCCCACCCTTACTCAGAAGGCAACCAAAATTTGCTACAGGCACTTTTTTTCAAGAAATCATGCTGTCCAACCAGTCTTCCAGCTCTTCTTCAGTAACATTTTTTGATGTACTTGGTTGCTCAGGTTCCACGTTCTTTTCTTCAGTCACAGACGGTTTTGCAGCAACTGGGGAAATAAAAGCAATGTTAACAACGTTGCATTAAGTCCCAAAAATTGAGGCTTAAAGCTTTCCTGGGGTTTGTTCCAGGATATAATTCGGTTCTAATTATTACTTGCCTTACAACAAGGGGAAACATCATCATTGTTACTCCCTAAAATGATACAGTAATATCTAAACAAATTAATAAATGGAAGGTAGAGATTTGCTCTTCTATTTATTCTGAAGTTGAATTTCACAGTTCACTAGTTTTTTTTTTTTTTTAAAAAAAGATCAACATCTCAGTTTTCTTTTCACTGTTGTAGCAATCCTGTAAAATCATTAAAGGCTCCTGAATGTAGTAATCGCCTCGGGCCTCACCACATTATATGGGCCACCATCTCACAGAGCATGCACAAATTAGAAAGTGTTCTTCCCTTTTAGGGAAAAAAAAAAAAATCAAAATAGCAAGAAAGTATGAACAGTTGGCCTGTTCAGTCGATTAAAAGGTCTGCTGCTGCAAAGCTGAGAGCTACAGGTATTCTAATGCCTTTTGATAGCAGAAGTTCAATTTGCAGCCCCAGGTTTATATGCAATCAGGCAGGTAGCAGCTCTGGATGCTGGATATATAGAGTGAGAGGAATGTTGTCAGAAAGGTCAGCTCGGGGGGAAGCAGAGATGTGAGCACAGAAATAGATGTCAGTGGACAACACCGATCGATGGCAGACACCCACAGGGATGTGTACGGATGTGGTGGGGGTGGGCCGTTCTCACAGAAACACCAGGATCAAGATGCTGGATGGGGAATAAAATGGAAGCCATACCTTTTTCCTCTTGGGCTACCTCCCCATCTTTCTCAGATTTCGGGTCCTGAGAGTTCTGATCTGGTAAGATGTTATCTCCCTCTTTTATGGGCACATCTAAATTAAGCAACAGATCTAGTTCTTCTTCCAGGTGGTCTGCTGCTGACTGCACCAGGGAAGCGGGTTTCTGAGAGCCCCTTGCAGGACCCAGTCTCAGGCTGTCTTTGCCCAGGGACTCGGGGCAGCCGGCAGATTTCAGCTCAGAGATGGGCCCCTTCAGCTGCATCCCTAGTCCCTTGCCATCATCACTTCTCTTTGGTTTCACTTGAGGAAGCTCCAAAGGAACTGTGGCCTGAAGGAGAAGTATAATAACTAAGTTAAAAATATGAGTCTTGCCATATTTGCTTAAGTACAAGCAAAACATAGGCTAAGGAAGCTGTCAAACTTTGTGGGGTATGAAACTTGATTCAGACAGTTCATTCGCAAAGTGTCTCCGGTCCAGGCCCCTCTGGATTCATCTGGGGTAAACGTGGGAGCCCTCACTGAAACACGACAGCACTGCGCCTCCTGCTCTCCCCACCTCAGCCCTAAGCTAACTAGCTTGGAGTTGGAATTAAAAGGCCTGTGTCTTCCTAGCACTGGGCTGCAAACTGACAGTACCATGGGCCTTTTTGAGTTTCCACTTAAATCTGTACGTGACATGAATATCTGCAATATTCTGAGCCTCGAGATGGATGCTGATTCCATGGTTATAAATACTTATGTGTGCACGTTCCTGTAGCTATGCTGCACATTAATAAAAGGTTAAAAACTCCCCAAGTGACTGTAATGTGAGGTTATAATCTAAGGCTGAGAATCTCTGCTGTCAGGGGAAGGCTCCCAGGACCAGCACAGCCTCACAGTGGGCAGGTTCAGAATGAGGCACAACCTCTAACGGGGGTCCTGACCCCTCAGTTTCCCATAAATAAGCACCCTGAACAGATATTTAAGACAATACAGCTTTATACATAAACTGGAATAAACATCCAGCATCGTCAGGTATGCAGGGCAAAGCTGGGCTGTGGTCCTCTAGAGTCATTTCATTGGTCTGGAGTGGGTGTCTGGCATTGTTAACTTCCCAGGTGATTCTAATGTGCTAACGAACTTGAGAATAACTGCTGTACAGCACGGTAGTGGGTGGGGCAGATTTTAAAAATGATGTAGCCAGGTTTTCAAAACTACTGTAATTATTTTATACCTTTACTCTAATGCCTGCCACTGACATAACATCCTGCACGTTCAAATGCTCACACACCACTTCCTCTCTCTCCTGAGTCCTGGAGATAAAGATCTGAGCATTCCCTGGTGTGTGCTGCTAAGCTTTCCTCATTGTGTGGCTCAAACCGAGCACTTCAGAACTTTGGACATGACTGGACACCCAGCAGGAAAAGTGGGCAGCACGCTCCCAAACACCCCGAAACATGTCTAAAGAACCCCCGGTGAGATCCCCTATCAGAGGCAAATGCAGTCCTTTCTAGTTTTTTCCTTGTCCCTACCTGTCCTCTAGCCCTGAACTCGGCCTGTTGTCCCAAATTTTAGGCTCATAAGTGCAATGGAAACAGCAACTGGGTGGGTAACCAATTCATCACTATTCTCAAGCTTAGCATCACATTCTGCCACAGAAGGAAGCTTATCATTTTAGTTGCTAGGGTCTTTTTGTTAACTCAATTGAGCCACAGTTACATTTTGAAGTCCTTCATGGTATAGTCCTTGGGTCTCCTCCTCTCTTAGTTCATCAATTGCCACCTCATCCTGATAACTCCCAAATTTTTCTTTTTAGCCTTAACTCTGAACTACAAATTTTTACATCCAATTGATGGATAGTTCCACTTGGATAGCTCAGAGGCACAAACTCATCATGTTCAAACCTTACCCTTCCTGATACCTCCTCTACCACTGAGTAGCACATGTTGGAAAACCTTGAATTCTTCCTTGACTGCTCTCTCCCCATGTTTAATAGATTACCAAATCCTGTTAATTGTACCTTTGAAATACTTCTCGGTAAAGTCCACTTCTCTGCCATCTCCACTGTCACCACCCTCGTCCAGCTACAGTGCTACTCACCTGGACCCTGTGCTAGTCTCCTAATGTTCCTCCCCTCATCTGTTCTGCTTGTGCGTGCACAGACTTGCCCCCCACCCCACACTATGATCCCACAGTCTGCTCTCCATCATCATCATCGTTTTGTTAGTGCAGATCTGACTGGGCACCTCTCCTTCCAGTCCAGCTGTTCTTAGACCTCAGCTTATCTGTCACTTCCTCAGGAAAGCTGTTCCTAACCACACCACAGAAGACCCTGATCCACTCTCATGACACCCTATACTTCACTGTAATGGACTTACTGCCATTTGTATATGTTTGTATGAGTATGAGATTGATCTGATTAATGTCCATCTTTCCCAAGGGAGTAAACTCCAGGAACCATGTCTGTCTACTTACCACTGTGTTCCTAGTGGCTAACACAGTCTGACATAAGAATATTTTCAGTAAAATAACAGCCAGACTTTATATTTTTACATTTCATTCAATTCCATTACATTTGATCCTTTAAAATCTTTCAAATATAAAATTGAAAAGAATAACTTAAAAAATTATTGCATTCTCCTTTAAACTTTACAAAAGGCTGCCTTGACATAAAAGCCTTAGCTTTATGAAAAGCTGAGTCTGAGCCATCCTGCAGAGGGAGGTGGTTTTCCCCTCTTTTTCTTCTCCTGCCCTAATCCACCCCAGCTTGAAGACGACTTCGGAGTTTTTACCTGAACCAACTCAGCAGCAACGTTCAGTCGCAGTGACAGAGGCAGTTCTTGAAGGGCTCGAACCAATGACTCACTATCCACGTAAAATGCTGAATTCTATATATATATAAAAAAATAAAATAAAATATCAGGTGATGATTAAGCATGACCTTTTGGAAATAAAACAGAAGATGAAAGAAAGTAACTGTAAATAAATCATCCACTGGAGTTACTCTGGGCTGGGAGCAAGTCAGATCACAAATCACACTTGATGTGCTGTACTTTCTGTCAGCTCCACATTAAAATCAACAAAACCAGAACTACCTTCTTGAGCCGCAGCTCACGCTGTTGGAAAGCAGCAGGGCAGTGAGCGCCCGCATGTCCAGGTTGCTCAGTAACCTGCAAACTGGGAGGCCTTTGCAATTACTGGCAAGCAGAAAGAAAAATAAGCATTGAATAAAATCTAAGTAGATACCACCCCTACGTTCAGACTGCTGGCCTCAGGGAGAGGAGGGAAGGGCTGTTTAGACAGTGAAATGGGGCTGACAGGTGTCTCCAAATGCTTCTCTTTGAAGTAGAAAGCAGAGAATGGAAGCTTAGCCTCTAGCCAGCTGCACTCTGTGTGAGGCCCACACTAAAAGCTTCCTTTGACTCTTTTCCCATTCACAGAAGCGAAGTCATGTCAATGCACAGAGCTCACAAATTGACGCTATGTGAGAAGACATTCCGGGTAATCCCATGGTCCCTAACAGCTGCTGCTAGGTGTCCTGGCCACTCATGGGAAGCAAAAACTAAAAGGTGCTTACAATGATGTTACATACAGAGGCCAATACCACGGGCTGCCTAGTCTGCCAAGCACTGTCACAGGCCCAGCAAGGACGACCATCCTATAATCACTGCCTTCAAGTTGAGGAAAATCCAGTGGTCATCTAGTTTAATCTCTACTGCAATGCAGGAATGTTTCAGGTAGATGGGTTTATAATGATTAGAGTTGGAGACACATTCCTAGTGGGCTAAAGCAGAGCCCTGCCACTAAATCCAGACCCACTCTAACCACTAAGCAACACAACGGTGGGACATGGGGATTGAAGGGAAGGATCTGGCTTTCCAACTGGCCTTCTGAAGTTGTCCTGAGATAGCTACCTCTTAGATAAGCAACCTGGCAGCACCAGATACAACCCCTTGCCTTGGAAAAAGGGATTTTATTTCTAAAAAGTATAGTGAATTTAAGGAACAGGATGGAGGGTAGCAAAGCCCTGATAAGAACGTGGAAAATTCAATGTGTGTCCAGGCCATTCCTTAGTCCTGAACACAGCACATTAAGCGCTATGATTAAGACCAGCACGGCCAAGACTTTGTTCTCAAGTTTGGGAAAACCCTCTCCACCCCCTAGAATATAGTGATCCTGAATGTTTCACCCACAGGGAAGTCACCACATTACAAGCAGGAAATCTCACCATTCCCACCACCAAGTGTCTGCAAAGTCACACCATGTAGATGCCCTTCCCTCAATCTATAAAAGAGAGAGAACTTGACCTCTGCAATTCCTGGCCACCAGTCCCATGTCCTCTCTTAGCTCTCTAGCGAGGGGCTGTTGAGATGTGCTGGGATCTAGCTAAAAGTGTCCAAATTTCCTCTGCCCTCTTTCGCATCACATGCAACACGACTACAAGGAATATTATAAATAAGGAAAAGTTTGTGAGACCAAAGATACAGGGAATGGCTGGCTGTGTTCATGAGCCATGCTCTGAATGAAGCTCAGCTGTGTCCCCTACTCCACTGTCTTCTTCTCCCACATTCCTGATTCCCACCCATAATCTAGTGCCCAGCTGACACTGTACCACCTCCACAATGCCTTTGCAACACTTCAAACCAGTGTTTTCTGTGGTTTCTCCCTGTTTCCTTGCAAGAGTCCTGTGGCTGAGAACCTTCCATCAAATGCCAGTGTGTAAGATGACTTTCTGTTTTTGGTCATCAGTTTGTCCCATTAACGGCCAAAGTGCCCACACTGGGCAGCACTTCGGAATAAGCTGGGCAGCTTTTTAAGACACAGATTCTCAAGCCTCACTCACAGAACTAGACTCACTGGACAAATGGGTCTGAGAGTCTGCGTCTTCAAAAGCCAGGCCCTCAGGAACCACTGCCCATCACCCAGCACTCAGCAGCTGTTCAAGGAAGGTCTACTGAATCAATAAGTCAACAGAAATTAAACATGGAATAAAGAAAGCTTCAGGCCATTTAAAAAATAATATATCTATTTATTCACCCAAAGAAGTTCTCTTCCCATCCATTCCTTCCTTATGTGGTCCCCACACTGTCCAAAGATAAGATCTGAAAATCCCACTCACTGATCCGAAGACCAATGCCCCGTGGCAAGGTAGGCCAATGGCTACAGCAGAGCACCCTGACTGCCGCTATGTCCCCTTCACCCGCCTGTTTGCCAGCCATGGAGCAACGAATGCAAGTCACAGCTGTGGCGCTGGGTCCCAGTCCTGCCAGGGTTCCAACATGTCCCATTATTTCCTCTATTTCTTGTGTCACTGGTCACACTGGGGACACAGGGAGGGCATAAGGAACAACACCTATTAATATATACATAAATACACACATACACACACACCCGCCCCAATTCCTGGCCTTTCTCTCTCTCAAGTAAGCAAGAAAAAAGAAAATTTATCAGTATTGACAATGAAATGTTTAAAAGAAAAAGACAAGAAAGAAAATTTAGTGAGGCGTTAAGTGAGACAGGAAATAATTTTGATGGGGAAATGATCAATTCAGTTTTAGACGTGTCCTACCAATACCTCAAACTCAAAATCAAACTTAGCTTTTTTCGACTCTTCTGTTCCATTAACAGCGCCACCTCCCACCTGGTGGCTCAGGCTGGAAAGCTAAGCGCCATAGCACATCTTCCTTGTCCCTGGGTCTCACATGTGGTCAGTGGCCACAGTCCCCCACTGCAAACCTACCCACCCACAGCCCCCTTTCCACCCTCGCTGCCTGCACCAAGCCAGGCTCTCGCGCTTTCCTGTTCACCCAACATTACATCCTCCTAGCTGGCTTCCCTGCCTCCAGCCTCTCAGCCCAGCTGTTCGATCCCTCCCTCCTTCCCAATATTGCTCGGGTCAAATCTAACCATTTCCACAGTCTTGCTAAACAAAACTTTGTTAGCAAATAATATTAGTAATAACAGCTCATTCTGAGTGTTTCATATGTGTCAGGAACTGCACTAAAGGGCTTTACATTTATTATCTAATTTGATTCCACATTACATTTTATTATTAGCTCCATTTTTACAGATGAGACAAGAGAGGAGGAAAGAAGTTTGCCCAAGTCACAGAACTAGGATTCACATCAGGTCTGTGTCTCTCAGGGGTGGGGAACCTGCAGCCTTAAGGCCACATGTGACCTTCTAGGTCCTTAAGTGCAGCCTTTTGACTGAATCCAAACCTTACGGAACAAATCCTTTTATTAAAAGGGGTGCCACAGAGCAGGATGAAGCTTTTCTTGCCTCCTTTGGTGCTTAAAAAAGAACAGTCTTGAAATGAGAATGCCACATGTTCCCCACCCCTGTGCAGAGTTCTTTCTCTGAAAAGAAAGACGATCAAACCGTAGGCACTAACTATCCCAGACCTACCACTGAAGCCTCCTCCCCTGGAACTACTACACTCCGGCCATACCCTTCTCTGGGCACAATCTGGTTTTTCTGATCTCATTACTCTCATGATGTTCCCTCAGGTGAGACCTGCCACAATCACACCTGTCCACAAAGGCCCATTCAAATGATCTGTCCTCATGGTACTGTTCTTAATCATTTCCAGCCCAAAGTAGTTGTCTGCCAAGTATTATGCTAGCTCATTTATCACACCACTTCTTTTACGTGGCGTTCTTTTTCACTATTACGTAAGTATCTCCTGAGCGTCTACCATTCTAAAGCTCAGGTGTCATGCTCAGGGGCCTAGAGCAATGAACAGGCACTGCTCTCCATCTTATTCATTCTGAATAAGCTCTGTCTAATAAAATGTCCAGTAAATAACAAGTGCTCCCTGTTTTGATGAATTAAGAAGCTTAGATTTAAAACTCTCAAGATATTTACAATATTCTCTGATAGCCAATAAGGTTCAAACGGAGTCGAAATGAGAATTGTTTGGCTTTCACCGTATTCCTCAACCATCTTGGTTTCTCTGTTTTCAATTTGTCCTACAATTCTAACAGCACCTCGGGCATATGCCTGAACAGACTCAAGCTAGGGCAAAGACAAACTTTTTCTTTTGTTTTTTTTTTTGGAGACAGAGTCTTGCTCCGTCACCCAGGCTAGAGTGCAGTGGCCCAATCATAGCTCACTGCAACCTCAAACTCCTGGGCTCAAGTGATTCTCCTGCCTCAGCCTTCTGAGTGGCTGGAACTACGAGCACGCAACACCACGTCTGGCTAAGTTTTCTATTTTTTGGAGAGAAAGGGATCTCACTATGTTGCTTAGGCTGGTCTTGAACTCCTGGTTTCAAGCGATCCTCCCACTTTGGCCTCCCAAAGTGCTAGGATTATAGGCGCAAGTCACCACACCTGGCCAATATTTTTTTTTCCTCAACTTCTTCTATGCTGTATATAACATACTCTTTGCAAAGTGTCAGGCAATCATTTTATGAGCGACTCTCCTCCCCATGATCTGTATGAGTCAATGTCCATCCCAAACAACTGAGCATAAAACCAGCTCAGAGATCAATGAGCCACTCACAGCATGTTCACTGATCTGGTAGCAGAACAGAGGAGAGCATGTCACCCCTCGGCTTTTGGCCCACTGTTTCAGGCACCTCTCTGATGAGGTGGGCAGACTGTCTAATCATTTTGTCAGATGCTATGCTCCAGCCCTGCAGCTTGGGAGCATGTGATAAGCCACCATTAATTCTCCGTATATTTTAAAAAGAGGAGAAAATCTGTCACCTCTTATATGGTAAGAATCAGTGAGATCCTTCTCGGAAAATAATCAAAACTCCTTAGGAAGAAAATATGGCATAAACACAAAGCAAATAAAGCATTTGGAATTCATGGATTCACTGAACCACTTCTATAATATTTGTCCCTATTTTATGCCTTTATTCTCCTAATCGTAGGAGAAGAGTTATTTAAAGCTATAGGGTTAAGGTTTTTCTCACCTAACACCAAAAACAGCAAGGGAGAAAAAATTAATTTTCAGCTCTAAGGGAATTGTCGCAGAGTGGCAAAAGGAGGAAAGCCAGATGGCAAAGTCATCCACTTTGTCAAAATCATGACTGTTCCGTTGCTACCTCATGACCTGGTCCACATGAGTAATACACACAGGCGACCAGGTAGAAAGGTGAACTCTGGCTTCAAGGAACTGTATAATTTTAGCCCTCTGAAAATGTTCTGAACAGTTTAGGTAACTGAGAATAGACAGGATATGAATTACTTTTCCACAGGAAGACTCTATCTCAACAAGCATGTAAAAGGTGTTGGCCTTCAGCCTTGAGAGGGGCCAGTCCACATCCCAGACAAACTTTTATCTCACCTGTTTTGGACATGATGCTTCACCATCCCATTCTTTCTCCTCAGCAAACCGGAACTGGGAGAAGGAATCCCCTAGGAATAGAAAAAAATATATATATGTTTATGCAAAAGCCAAAGGAAACCCCTCAGTTCTCTATGTTCTTTTCTGGAGCAAGAGTGTCATTTCTGAAGAGCTAACATTCTCAAATTCAGTGATACCACATTGCAAGGTCCTGGATTCCACACCTTTACCCAGAGATCTGTGCATGGTGGGCACTCAAAACAATTGTGGGCAACTGCATTCATTGTTCCATTCAATTCTCAGTAAGCCACCATCCTACATGCTTCTTGAGGGACAACTAAACAGTTCAGGCCTACAGACATGGCCATTTACTCATATTTGGCATATTTCCATCTCATCTGCTTAGTGTATGCGAGGACACTCATATTTATAGTTTTGGTAGTAGGCAAGGCAGAAGAGGAAGGGGAAGAATGGAACTGAAGGCACTGCTAGGCTGATCCACAACTTAACGGACTTAAAATGCCTTAGAGAAGGTTACCAACCTCTACTATCACTTCAAAAATCACCAAGGCAGAATGTCAAAGGCAAAATAAAACTCAAAGAACGTGCATTAGATCATAGTGTAAATCATGGTGTACTGCTCTGAGCTCCTGGAATAAGGGAATATGAACATGTGAGAGCAACATAAACAAGCAGCAGAGATGATCCTGTGCAGCAAGCTTTGTCACACAGGCTGACTTCGTAAAGATGTACATACAGCCTAGCTTTCGAGATCCTCCAAACTTTGGTCCTACATCCCACTTCATTAACTCACATTTACTTTCTATTTCTTCAAAGTTTCTGCTCCAAAGTCAGTCTCTTTTCACATTCCCTATGTGCTTTATACTTCATCCTATTTTCATTCTTATTTTTTTTTTATCCCTTCCCCTTGTCTAGAGACCCACATACCTCTACCCATGGTTTGAATATTTGTCTCCTCCAAAACTCATGTTGAAATTTAACCCTCAATGTGGTAGTATCGAGAGGTGGGCCCTTTAAAAGGTGAATTAATGGATTAATGGGTTATCAGAGGCGTGAGACTGGTGGCTTTACGAGAAAAGGAAGACCTGAGTTGGCACGCTCAGCCCCATGGCCGTGTGATGCCCTGTGTGCCTTGAAACCCTGTAGAGTCCCCACCAGCAAGCAGGCCCTCACAAGATGCGGCCCCTCAACCTTGGACTTCTCAGCCTCCATAACTGTAAGAAATAAAGTCCTTTTCTTATAAATTACCCAGTTTTAGGCATTCGGTTATAAGCAACAGAAAATGGACTAAGACACCACTCATACTGTATTTACACTTCCAGACTCAGGAACAGGCCCACTTCTTCCTTCTCTGGTACCTCTCAGGTACTCTAACTATAGAATTTATTCTTTACTTCTAAATTAACAGAGTGGGGAAAAGAAGTAAAGAACTCTGGCTGGGCGCGGTGGCTCACGCCTGTAATCCTAGCACACTGGGAGGCCAAGGCGGGAGGATCGTTTGAGCTCAGGAGTTCGAGACCAGCCTGAGCAAGAGCAAGACTCCGTCTCTACTTAAATAGAAAGAAATTAGCTGGACAACTAAAAATATATAGAAAAAATTAGCTGGGTATGGTGGCACATGCCTGTAGGCCCAGCTACCTGGGAGGCTGAGGCAGGAGGATCGCTTGAGCCCAGGAGTTTGAGGTTGCTGTGAACTAGGCTGACACCACAGCACTCTAGCTGTGAGACTCTGTCTCAAAAAAAAAAAATAATAAAATTAAAAAAAATAAAAAGTAGTAAAGAACTCAAAAATAAAGAGAGAGACAAAGATAAAATTAGAACCTGCTTCCAACTCAACAATTTCCAAAATTCCAAAACACATGGATCACAACATTAACATAGGACAAGATCAAATGCAAGGCAAAAGGACAAAGAAAAAAAGTTAAATTCACTTAATGCTTAATCAATGGTATGAATGAATCAATTTGATCCATCAAAAATCATGATATAAAGGCTCTGAATAACATAACAAGATCTCGTGTGTATATGCGGATATATACATGTATGTGTGCACGTATGTATTGTGATTATGTGTGCGCACTTACTTCATAAATATCCAGGCACCATTAATTATTTAAAGGACTATAAGGCCACAAAAAAATCAATACATTCTAAAATGTAGCAGCCATAAAAACCATATTCACTGGTGATAATGTAAGTAAACAGAAATTAATCACAAAAGTAAAAATAACCAAAAAATATTTAGAAATTTTAAAATTCCTTCCCACATCAATTTTTGATCAAAAGAAAACAGAACTCAAACTGTAGAACTGGAATATAGAAAAAAGTAATAAATTAACACAAATCAATCCATAAGATATGAGTAAACTTGTTCTCAGAGAAAAAGTTAAGGTCTTAAATACTTTCATTACTAAACAAAGAAGGAAAAGAAATAGTTGATTGTTTTATAAAGTTAGTGGGGGAAAAGTACAACACACCGAAGCTGGTGAAAAATATGAATAGTTTTTTTTTTAATTAAAGAAATAAACACAACAATCTTCTCATAAATAACTGAAAGTTAAGATTATGCTTAAAAATATAAACTAACACCACTGTTGTCTAATATTTTTTAAAGGGCAGCCAGTGCAATTAGAAACAAGAATGAATTAAGAAGTATCAACACTGGAAAGGAGGAAACAATAACATGATAATTTGAAGAAAATATATTTGTGTGCCTGGAAAATCCAAAAGAATAAGTGAAAAAGGATTCAGAAAGGTGGCCCGATTACAAAATTTACATTGAAAAATAAACGTCTCTCTCCAGTTAGAAAACAAAATGGAAGAAAATATCCCATTCATAACAGCAATAGCATACACAAAATTCCTAAGAATGAACCAGGAATAAACATTTATTAAAAGAAATTATTTTTGAAATAAAACTTACCAAAGAAGATGGAAAACTCAGTAGTATGAAGATATCAATTTTACCTAATCAAATCTACAAATTCAACATTTAATTCAAATCTCAAAAGGCTTTAACTTATCCAAATTACTCAAATCCACTTAAAAAAATTTATGGAACTAAGATTTTTTTTTTTTTAGGGTGAAGTTCTTATTGATTATAAAACTGCATCCAAAAGCCTCAATAAATGAAATGGATAGCCACTGGAGAAAAAAAAATAGATCACTGGAACATAAGAGAGTCTAGAAACAGACCCTATCATAAGAGTAGCACACGATTTCTTGGAGAAATAGATTACTTAATAGTGTAAAAGCAACTGGCTGGCCATGTGGAAAATTAAGCTAGATCCCTTTATCTCATTTCTACTACTCAAAAACACATTCTGTATGAACCAAAGATTTAGATATTAAGAAAAAAAAGGAAATCATAACACTATTACAAGAAAGCAGGGCTGAATTTTTTATTATCTTAAAGATGGCATATTTTAACCACTGCAAGAAATACATAAAAATGAAAATCTTTTGTATGACAAAAATGATATATTCAAAAGATGACACACTGAGAGCAAACATTTGTAGCACATATTATAGGCAAAGAGTTAATATTTCTAAGATACAAAAAGCTTCTACCAATCAATCAGAATAAAGCAACCCAACAGAAAAACAGGAAAAGGGAAAAATATAAAAAATATGATGGCTTATAAATATGAAATAAATAGTACATGTAACAACTAAAAATCAATTTGACAGATTTTTAAAAATTGGCCAAATAGCTGAATGCCTTATTCAATGTTACTCCTGGCATTCCTGAACTTCTATATTATAAAGGATAATATGACTTCACAGATTCCTATCATCTATAACCAGTACAAGATTCAGCAATGCAAATGAGGCATGCTATATGTATTTATTTTTAATATCTGAATATTCACATTCAAATATAAGTGAGATTCCAAAACTGACTCACTTGTTGTACACCAATCTTCTTGCTGAGAACTAGAAGAACCAGGCCCTCCTCCCCAAAACCTATCTCAAGACATCAGAGAGCTACCAAGGCAGTGAGGACCTGAAGGACAAAGTTCCCAGAGAGGGGACAAGCACACAAGGAGGTTAGGCTAATATTTAGGATTGCTTTTCCCCTTGAGACATTTGTCAATTTTCAAAAAGTGGTGTTAAGAGGCTGAAAAGCTGAGCATAAAGTAACAACCCAGCAGGTTGAAAAGGTGAAGAGAGCTCTGCTAGTGTCCGGCACTGGGTAGACAGGTGGATGAGGAGGAGCCTTGGAAGATTTAAGGCTTTCAGGTGGGACCCTATCTTAGAAGGGGTGAACTAGGAATTGCCTAGCCCTCACAAATTCTGAAGCCCAGCTGTCAATCAGCTCAATCTCTGATTCTGCCTACAAGCAAAAGTAAATCCTTTCTGGAGAAAAATGACACTATAAATAGCTTAAAATGATCTCTATAATGTTTTTACATACAATGTCTAAAAATCATTAAGGACCATCAGGCATACCAAGAGATAAGACCAAAATAATAGAAAACCAAGGGAAAGGAAAAAAGAAACAAAAGACAATATGAAAAGATCCACAGAGATTAAGATATTGAAGTCATTAAACATGAGTTTTGTTATTTTACCAAGTCAAAATTTCAAGAATAGGAAAAACTATAAAATGATAAACAATGACATCCATGAAGTCTTTTTTGATCCACACAAAATAAAGTATACACATAAAGGAAAAAAAAATGTCAGAGAAAATGAGATACCTAAATAAAACATGTTGTGTTCTCCGTAATAAAACCTCAAAACAACATTTAAAAATTGGTTCTTTAAAAATTCTCGTAAATAATGCGTACAGGGGCTAATTTTAAATAATAAGTTTGGTAAAGTGACTACTATGGAATACCAACTTCTCTAATTCTCTCACTGAAGACAAAAGAGTGCTCAAACTTGTAACTATGAATCCTAGAACCAAAAATCCTTCTGGAAAACGTTACCAAAATTCTTCTTTCTGAATTATATTGTAAACTGCACAAAAACAATGCTGATATTAGCAAACTTGCTGCTTTTATATCTTATACATCAGACATTTGGATGTGCACGAACAACCAGA